TATTTAGAATTTGCATTTCCTAATATGGTAGGATGAATATACCCTGTAAAATACTGCAAAATTACAGCACAATGTAACTTAGGCCGTTATTATGACAGATGTATAATAATATTATGTCTGAATAGTTAGAACATTCTACAATTGATTCAGTATGTACAAACGTACCATAATAGTCTGGTTGTCGAAATGGCACTGCTCTTGATTTCCTGAAAATGTATAAAACCAATGCATCAGTTCCTGTATGTATGTATGAGAATGAATTAAATTATGATTGTTGTGACCGAGCAATGCCCTTAGGTTCTCTACAAGAATGAGTATAATGTTGATTTTAATTCAATCCTGATTCATGATTATTAGACCCTAACTGATTGGCATGCAAGTACATTTGGAATTCAATTCATCACTGATCATCATTTGACTGGTACATGTATTTTTTTTGTTTAACCAAACTGTTGCCAGCTGCCTATGAAGAATTTCATTTAGATTTGGCTCCAATCAATTGTGTGACTTTTGCCACCAATGGCTAAATATATAATAATAATTGTTATTGCATAATCGTATCCTTATTTGGATAATGACTCAGAAGAAGAAAATTATAAAAGACGAAAAACTGAAGAAGTATATCAAAACCATGAATAATTCTATGAAAATTGTCACCATTTAAAAGCATGACATCATCCACAGAAATTAAACACCAGGAAAACATAGTGCTAAGATATGTAGTGCATATTACAATAACACATTTTGTTTTCGGACATATTCACAAATTTTTATTTTTCCCTATTTGAGAAGTGGCTAATTCAAAAGTATTTTATGATCCTTTGGGGAAGTCAGTCCATGTTTAACACTTTTGATTTGTAAACATTTGCAAATAACTGTATCATGCAGTACAACATTTGGATGAAAGCCAGTGTGAGCAGATTTCATATTTTGTTCTATACTTAGCACATATATGCAATGTGATATGGGAGAAACTTTCCATTGTTTACCATAAAAAACTATTATAAGACTGGAAACTGACTAAATCATATGTAAATTTCCCTTGACATTTTGGACTCCTATGTATCCTGAAAATTAGTTTGGTGACCCTAATTTTTGTTTTAATTTTTCATTTTATG